CGTCGGTAACGCGAACGAGAGGGAAAGGCTCGCGACGAGAGGACGGGAGATAGACGAGAAAAGGGATAGAAGGGATAGACGGAAAGGGAGAGAGAGAGAGAGAAAGAGACGAAGACACGTAGAGCGCGATGTCGCGATGGTAGGGAATGTACACTGGACGTCATAAATGCTCGCTCGACCGTTATTAGATACACGGAGGCTGTAATTCACGGGGTCCTATTGCGCCCTGACACGTGCCAAGTGCTCATATATAAAATGCGATCTCGCGTGCAGAATGTCCCACGTATTTAGATATTTGTGGATTAAGAAACGCGCTTACAGAATCATCAGACTGTCCCAGCGAGATATGCGGATGAGTGCAAAGAAACAGCATGGGGGGGGGGGGATTCAATATTGCTCGTTCGAAGGAGTAAACCTGCCACCTGACAGCCATTTTCATCGCTCCAACCAAGATGGATTTCGAGAAAAATGAAGTGATTGAATTACATCGACCAGCGCAAACTTCGTCAGGCTTTGTACTTTGCTTGAACTGAAATGCTTTCGGAGACGAAGCATATTCGACGGGAGAAATAGAATCTTGGCTAAAGAAGTTCAAGGGAAGGCGAAGTATTAGTGGGAGAACGTTCGTGATGCCACTTTCAAAGAAGATAAACGAAAAGAAGGAAGAGTTTCGGATATTAGGAAGAAACTAGGAGGAAAGAGGAACGTCGGTCTTCGAAATGTCTCGCAAAGCTTTCCTGAGGGACTCTTCAGTAACACTTCCATTAATCAAGTAAAGTATGGTACAAAACTTGACGAATTCGCGCTGGCGATGTCACTAATTCGATCAATCAATTTTTTCTCAAAATCCATTTCGGACGCGAGCGACGAAAGTACCTGCCGGGCGGAAGATTTGCGCTTTCAATTTTCATCAGTGCGGCGACTGATTTCAATCTCGCTCTAATTCACAGAACTAGAAAAGGATAAGAAGGAAATTTAACCGGGATCAAAGTTAATCTACACTGATAGAAACGAACATTAATCGCCCCAGCCTTGTTTTCTTTACAGAGAATGAAAGCAACGGCGCTCGCAAGGGGCAGCGCCTTCGTCTTAAAGGTGTATAGAGAATAAGGGAATGTTTCACGTCAAATAAATGACCAACCGGCAAGAGGGATCAATATCGGACTTTTCCACGGAGAGTTTCGAACCGAAGGGAGAGCTTTCAACTCGCATCCCGAGCGATTCCGCTTCGCCGTCGAGTGCCGAGACAGGCGGCGAGTGTCGGTCTAATAACGGGCGAGAGCGTTTATGACGGTGCGCCCCCGGTGTACAGGGCTGAGCGAGGAAAATAACGATAGCGCCAGGCAGCGTCGTTCGCCGAGCGGTAGCAACACGGGCAAGGGAGGACGCACGCGTTATCGACCGCTCGAGAGACTCCGAGCGAGGGCGAGCGCGAAAGCACCACCACGTCGTAGGGCACCACGTGACGCGGGAGCGGGAAATATATGAAGGGACGCGCCGCCTCCCTTTCCGCCTCTCTCTCTCTCTCTCTCTCTCCGCCCTTCTTCTCTCTCTCTCTCTCTCTCTGGTCTTCCTCTTTCTCCCCCTTACCTTTCTCCCGCCCGGTAAAAGTATTATACTTACGATAACGTACAGCGCGATCCATCGTGTTCGCTACCTACGAAACCCTCTTCCCTATCTCGCCTTACGCCTCTTCTATCTCACCCTCTCTGCCCCTTCCCCATCCCCCCCGCCTCTTTCACCCCTTTATGCGCGCCGTAACCCGTAACGGAGCATCCCGCGCGATACGAGAAATCCCGACCGTTCCTCCCTCGAGATATCGGGGACGAGGGGCTCCGAATGTTTCGAGACGAGGGTCGGCCGACTTAATGCAGTTTCGGGGGTAGATTGGAAGGTTTAGACTCCGTACGCGGAGACGCGCGCGCGGATTCTCCTCTCGGTCGAATTATGACACCCGATCGGCGAGAAGCCGCGTCAGCGAGTTTCGTCGACGAGGAAACTGGGGAATGTGTTCTGAGATATATCGTGAAGAATGCGCGCTTGTATTCTTTTAAATATTGAAGAGCGCTGAAAAAAAAACACGTACATTCCCATAGAAATAAAATTGCAATATCCTACTTTTTTTTGTCGCGGTGAGCTGAAAGAAAATTGTATCGCAATGGGTTTTTTAGGTATTTAAAGTTGTCGACTCTTTGCGTCCCGGTGGTTTTGCTGTAAAACCATTGTGAGCGGTTGTGCTCGTTGAATGTTTCGCCGCTATTTTTGGACTTTTCTGCGATATTTGTAAAGCATTTGTAATTAAATATTTTTGCATTATTTTTAAAAATATGGGATACAGCAAATACTATTAATTTTTTTTAAATTATTTTTGTATAATTGACAGTAATTTGTAAATATTTGTATATACTTATACATGCTTCTCAAAACACATATTTTTTCTTTTCTTACATTGGGCTGCAAAGGATTAACGTGGCAAAAATCATGGGATGAAAGCAAAAGGATTCTGTGACTGAGACATCCAAGAGATCACGAACGCTTCCGGAAGACTGAATTCCGATTAATCTGCGTGCTTAATTAATTAACTATCAAGTAATAATATATACACTGTTTTAACATGGACAGAATGATTAATTCTTTAAACAAAGTTAGATTATGACAGCGAATAATCAACAGTTGCGATATATGAATATTTAGATTGCAAACATGCGCTTCAATTATGCAAATAAATTCATGCATTAGGCGCAATTTCCAAACTCCGATCAAGTTAATTGGCGATCAAATTCAACTGACAGAATTGTTTGAACAAGTTTTTAAAAATATATTTTAACGGATTATAATCCGCTGTTTCCGATATAATCTTTTCATCCATGTATTATATTAAACAACACACATGGTTATTCTACTTACATTAACAAAATAGTACAGATAAATTAATTCAAGTTTAGTCGAAACCCCGCCCATAATCTGCAATATGCAGTACCTATCCCAGTCAATACCAAGTGACAGTCACATAGCATCAATATTATAATTTCCTACTCAACAATGTAAATGTAATTAACATTTACATCGTTGAGTAGGAAATTTTAATATTAATGTTATGTAACTGTCACTTGTGTGTGGTGTTTAAATTATGTCCTGCTTTAAAATTGCAACATGTGTTTTCCGTATAAATCCCTTTCGCGAAAATATATAGCAAAGAAAGCTGCTTAAAGATTCCCCTCTTCCAGTTTCCTTCCTACCCTTAAAAAAAATTAATTATTATCAGAATAAATAGCGAGTCGATTTTGCACGGTATAAAGAATCTGAAATCACAATTTGCATCGTAAAAGTACTCTCGAAAAAAAGTAACCTAATATATGCCATTACGAGATTGCATACGTGATACTGTCGTAAAATATCACAATTGTGTAATAATAAAGAGAGAATATGGAAAATCTGTTATTTAGCGAATTACCGAGAAAAACGGAGACCGGCGCATACGGTAAAATAAACTGCGCCGATATATTTCCATAATTGCCCTCCATGCGTAGCTCTTATTCCATTATCCTTATTATGTCTCGAGTAATATTATATCTGTACGGTAATATCGCTCGCATCGTTAACGCAGCTCTGACTGCAGCTGTTCGCGCTTATTGCTACAGGTCCCTGGAGAAATACGCTTTTAGTGCGTCTTGTTTATTGGTACCAGCGAACGAGACCAGTATTCCTTGCAGTAATAATTACACCTGCATATATGCACACGATGGTTGTATTAAATAACATAACGTCATCGAGTATACAATATAATATGATATAATATTATATTATATACTCGATAATGTTCGGGTAACGAATATAATAATCAAGTACACAATATAGTAACAATATCGCATAGTGAGTATAATAGCGATGCTAGATTACGTGCGGGGTGCGTGATTTTCATCGCCACGGAATGAAAAGTATTGTAATGAAATTTCTGACAATGAGTCGCGCGCTGAACGTGAAAAGCCACGTCGCTTAAAAGAGGAACGAAGTTTCTGCATATTTTAACTTACGCAGAGCTGGCGATTATAGCACGAGATTAAAAACTGAGAGCCGCGGGCAATTTACAAACATCTATAACTGGCTACCGCAGGATTCTGACATGCGAGTGAAAATTTAAAAAAAGAATTGTTTTGTGATATCATGCTTGTAACCACTTGTAAACACGAATCATGCGAAGTCGTCTGCCTTCCTATAAATATAAAATGACATGAAACTACGTCAGCGGCACCCAGCTACGGGCTTTAAAATGACGTAAAGTTGCGTCAGTGGTGGTCAGCTACAGGTTTTAAATGACGTAAAATCACGTCAGCGGTAACTAGCTATAGATCTTGACTTGACGTAAAATCAGCAGCCGCTGATTTTACGTCAAGTCAAGATTAACTGATCACGCAGATTAATCGGAATTCAGCCTTCCGGAATCATTCACGATCTCTTGGATCAGTCACATCTTAATCACATCTTAATTAGAATATTTTTGCTTTCATCTCTTGATTTTTTGTCAGGTTAACCTTTTGCGGCCCAATGTAAGAAAAAAATATGTTCTTTGAAAAACATACATATACAAATACTTATAAATAACTGTCAATTATACAAAAGCTGAAAAAAAATTAATAGTATTAATTGCTGTATCCCACACATTTTTAAAAATAATGCAAAAACATTTAATTATAAATGCTTTACAAATATCGCAAAAAGGTCAAAATAGCGACGGAACAATCAACAAATAAAAAACAGTTCACAATGGTTTTACAGCAAAACCACCGGGACGCAGAGTCAACAACTTTAAATATCTACTAAAAAAATCATACAATTTCTATTTCAGCTTCAGTGTGTTAATATCCTATTACGTTTCCGGATTCTACTTTCAACGCGAGAACTATATGAGCAAGTGAAACTTACCGAGAAGTTTTGCTAATTTATTTTTGATCGCTGCTATCCGAATATATTCATTCGCAATGCATTAATTTTTTTTTCAGACCAGACTGACTCGAAGGTACCGAATAAAGGTGGGTGTGCCGACGTTGATTTTATTGGAGGCGTCCAACGGGTCAATCGTGACAAGAGAAGGTGTCGAGCGAACTATCGCTGATCCCACCGGCGCGGAATTCCCTTGGAGACCGCTGCATCCGAAGGCCGCCTTCGAGGATGGACCTCTCCTACCGTGCGGCGCCCGCGGCAGCAACGAGCCTATGTTGCACGAGGAGCTTCGCCACTGCTTCAAGGGAGTTTACTTCAGCGCACACTGGGTGAGTAACGATGCCCAAGTGAATGCTAGAAATTAACAAGCGACAAAAGAAACAAGTGGGAGAAGACTCCGAGAGTCCTTGCTGAGAAGGGCTTAGACCCGGTTTCGCCAATGTCGCTTAACTTTAAGCTTTTAGCTTAATTTGTTCTTTGTCTCTTTCCAACTGTTACTCCAGAAAGAGACAAAGACAAATTAAACTAAGATTAAAGTTAAGCAACGTTTGGTGAAACCGGGCCTTAGAGTAGCAGCCGAAATATAATTTACAGCTTTGTAGCAAATTGATAGTTAAATGTTACATAATGTTAACTCACGCATAACTAGTTGCGTTTGAAACTTTCAAAGTTAACTTTTTCCTAATTTCGATATCGAGAATTTTTATTATCAGTTGGTCATCCATTTATTTGAATATTAGAAATGTTTCGCTGCCTGCAACAATTTTAGTTGAGTAGCTATCTTTTTCAAGAGAAATATATCTCGTTTCTATGAAGCAAACTTATATAAAACTGAATATAATTTTAATTATCTTAATAAATTAAAATTATATAACGAGATATTGGAAAGGATGCAACAGCTTTTGTAAAATTCTGTTTACCGAAGAATATAGAATTTTTTTTCTAGATTTATTTCTAGATTATTTTTTATTTAATCTGATTGTGAGTGATATTAGGGGGCTCTTACCTTAATTATGTAATATAGTTTTCCTGAATATGCAAATATTTATATAACGCATACGAATTATCTTATTAATACAGTGCGTTTAATTTAGTGTCCGCCTTGTAAAGCATTTACCCCGCAACTCGTGGATACGTATCAACGGATCCGGGAGAGAGGCCACGATTTCGAAGTAATTTTCGTGAGCTCGGATAGGTAAGCTTTCGTCATACAATGTCTTGTCTTTAAACGGTCGCATTTTATTCTGAGATATTTGTTCCTTTCATTTCATGGATAATTTTTCTGTATATTTATTGTTATATTTGTTACCCTTTTATTTTCTTTGCGTACCTTTTGTGAGAGATTACAATGGCATGTTATTTTAGGAGCGAGGAATCTTACAATGCGTACACTGAAACAATGCCTTGGTTGAGGATACCGTTTAATCAAGAAGAAAGACGTCGAAAATTGGCAAAAGCTTTCGACGTACAGGCAATACCCACTCTCGTTATTCTGGATCCTCGCGACAACATAATCACCTTAGATGGACGCGCCGAATTGATTGATGATCCAGAGGGACTGGTAATTTAAATGAGCTCTTTGAATATAATTATATTGCAAGTAAAATACTAGAAAGATAAAGACGCTGTTATTAAAGATAATAAAAATTAATGTTTATAAAATACCCCGTTAAAAAAATTTTACCATTACAGAATTAATTGTTATTACTATAAAGGCTATCTCAATTTTCAGAATTTTCCCTGGAGCCTTAGGCTAGTGAATATTCTAACAGAAAAGTATGCTGCATCGTTACACGATGCTCCAGGCATTATCTTGTTTGTCGGTAAGACGATATAAATAAAATGTATACATATGTGTATATATCTATAGAAATTAACAGAATAGAATAGGCTAAGAATTAAGTTACTAATATTTTATGTTTTACAGACGCGGAAGATTCTGAGATTCAATTTGCGGAAAGTGTACTACTGCCAGCTGCACAAATGTATAGAAGGGATCAACCCGATTATGATCCCAATTACGATGATCCTGATGATTCTTTGCAGTTCTACATAGCTTTGGATGTAAATATATTTTATACATACTCGTAGAATGACATAAAAATTAAATAGGTATTATAATTAATAAAATTATTTTTGTCATTTTCGAAATTTAAAATAAGAGTCAAATTTTATAATAATTATAAGACAAACACATAAATATATATAATAGATAATACTAAAGGCATAAAGTCATACCAATGTACTAAGCAATGTACTATTTATAAGAGTTGCCGATGTACTAGGAAGTTTTATAAAATTTCGAGTTTTATACAATATAATACAGTAATTAACAATGTCGACTAAAATTATTATTTTTAAATATTTCGACACCGTTAATTACTTACTTTTAACACTGTTAATTACCGTATTATATAATTTTATAAAACTCGCTAATACATTGGCGCATGATTTTTATATGCCTTTAGTGTTGTTTTTTAATATCTGTTTTTAGAGAGTATTAAGTCTAATCTACAATGTGCTTTTTGTATCTAGAATCATTTTATTTTATATAAACAAATCAGAACGCTTAAAAAATTTGTCGACAATGTACGATTATACAATGTATAATATACAATTTATCAACTTGCACAAATTTTTTAAACGTATTTATACTACAAAATGGAATGTTTCTAGACGCAGAGAGCACAATGTAGATTAGGCTTTAGTTTATTTAAGATATAAATGTGCTGTGTAAAACTGCAAATATTTTAAAAATATAAAATTATTATGCATATGAGATAATTGCATGATTTTTTACAGTGTGAAACATCGGATATTCTTCGTGAATATATTGGCTTGGACGATGCAGTACCTCTTTTAACTGCCATCGATATTCCACGGGAAGTTTATGTCGTAATGGAGGACGGTGCTAAGATTACCGTGGACTCTGTACAACAGTTCGTCGATGAATTTCTCAATAACAAATTGCCGACAAATCAAATAGCATCAAAATCAACCGAACGCATGCCGGCCTAAAAATATCATATACAATGTTAATTAAATACAAAATTTATACTTGTCAAATTTTATAAGAGTTATTCAGATAAAGAAACGTCCCTTTCTTTCTTTTACACTCTTGTCTCTGTGATATCGTCGTTCTTTATGTAGAGAGAAATTCGCGTGTACGTTGTATCTCTTCTTATATTAATTCATCGCGGGTGTAACAACAAAATATGTGTTATCCCACTATCAAAACTAAGACCCGGTTTCACCAACGTCGCTTTAATTTTAATTGTACAATTAGCTCAACTCATTCTTTGTCTGTTTCCGAGGGAACAGCTAAAAAGAGAAAAGGAGCGAGTTAAACACTAGGAGCAAAATTAATTAGCAACTTTGGTGAAACCAAGCCCAAGTCGATCAAATTGTATTTTCAAGTGTACGTAAACGCACACGAATACGTTAATACATTATAAATTACTAAATAAATATCAGATAAACGCACTGAAAGTTTCTGTGTTTATGAGATAGCCTGTTCATTGTTATGTAGCCCATATGTATACGAGAATTAAATTATATTGCTGACATTTAATCCTTTGCTGCATTGTACCGCGACAAAACCTATCATTCAAATTTGCTTTTTCAATATATAAAATTTGTTACGTGTTTCTATAGCATGCTTGGTATTACCTGATTGTTAAAAGGTTTCTCTAATAAACTTTTAGAACCACATTTTAAATAAATTTGTTATTAATGAATATATATATAAAAAGATTGTCGTTTTTTGTCAATAAATATGTTTTCATATAATTTTGATCAATAACTTATTAAAATCACTATTTACAGATTTTAAGACCGATTATGAATCCAAAGATCAAAATTCGAAACGGATAAAATTGTTAAACTCGACTGATTCCGATGTAAAAAATTATGAGATCCACCATTTTGAATATTATTTTGACCACGATCTTCTAAGTTCTCGAATAATAAGTTTCACTAAATAATAGAAAAAAATGCAACAAAGGGTTAAATATTTGGCACAATATGCATACACATTTGTGTTGTATAAATTTTCTCAGGTATATAGGTAATATATCGAGCATTATATCAATTGTCCGATATAGCAAGACTTTATTCGTATTCTGGTTTTTTTCAGTTTCTCTATCAAATTCTTTTTTATAAAAGTATTTAATTTATCGTGTTTCTTAAATTACTAATGCAAATATTATTGGAATCTTTCACTTATCACTAAATGTTGTATCCTAGCATCTTTTATACAACACGCATTACACTCAATGTTATTGATTCACACATCAGTCCTAATTCATATATTAAATATTTTACAATTATAAAGCTACCGTCGCTGGTTAAAAATGTACAATAAATTTGCGTTTAAAAAAGGCACCATACGTCATGAGCAATAAAGTGCTTCGAGTTGTTAATAGTCCTGTAAGTTAAAAATTTGATTAAAGTAATTGTCATATTGTCCATCTCTGATAATTATACATCTGTGATGATTATCATGCAAGTAGTGCTGCCAAAGCGTCAAGAAACTTGGGTCTTTCCTCAATTTTCAGTCTTATTACTGTAAAAAAAAAGGAAACATGTTAAGTACAATAAATTTCACCCAATTAACATAACACAAAACAATTGATTTCATACTTGTACTGTCAAAATAATCTGCCTCGATGTAACAATTTTTATTTTTTGCAGCTTGCTCAAATGCTTTCCCAAATAAACTGCAACCACAAAATTCATTGTTAAATAATGCAAATTATATTTTGTGTTCATAAATACTACCTTCTAGGTTGATCCTCGCAAACTGGTGGTATGCCAACAAGAAGACACGACCCTTCTTCTGCATTAAATATTGCGGAGGCCACGAGAGGCCACTCAGAAGCGCGTCTGTTTCTCGAAGAATTTACATAAGCTTTGAGGGCAAATTGAGCCAGCATGATCAGTGGATGAGGATGTGCAAATAAATAATTATCTATATTCCCATCCGGTACATTAAGATACAAAAAGGAACCGAAATTTTTTACTTGTTTAGCTTCTAATACATTCTGTGCAGTTTTGAAGATATTGTGGAGCATAAGCTTTGCCTTTTCAATGCCACTTTCTAAAATATCCTTCTTTGTACGCGACAAACAGTCCAACGCGTCTAAGAAACAACGTTGTGGTTGTCTGTCCTTTGTCTGTAAAAGTACGATATTTTAGAACACGTATTAACATACTATGTTTAATGACTGCTGTCTAATGACACGTACCGTAGAATCCAATAAAGCTAACATGGCATAAACCATGTCTGATGAACAATATTTAAAACGATAACCATATTGGAGGGTAAAACTAGTACCAATGATACTATTAACATTATATTTGCCAGCTAATTTCTCAACCATCTGCCGAAATTCTTGTCTAAAGGTAAGATCCATTGCACGAAACAACTGTCGGGATTGCACCAGAGGTAAACCCATCTCTGCTAAAATTTCCTTCAAACGTTGCTCTCCTCTAATGGACCATAGACGTAACGATACTGCAGTTGACATCGAATACTTCAAACTGGCTTCAACAGTCCAGTGACGATATAATGCTAACTGGAGACTGTTCGTTATCATTAAGAAATTAACACGGGCTTATGTCAAATTTAAATACTGAGAGAAACAAATTATCATATATACGTGAAAGGATACTCTTTATCATATGTAACTTTAACAATACTTTGCTGCTGTTGTTGATTGTCGATATCAACACCTTGTCTATGTGTTAATCTCGAGACATGTGCCTGAAGAGAACCTTCTTCAAGAACGGATATTCGTGACTCAATCTTGTTAAGAATAGACTGCTCTGTGGAACCTACTATGGCCCACCATGCCATATCTAAATCGTCCTTTGACATATTCCATGCCATCTCAAACACCGCTATCGCGCTCTACAATAAAACGTAACATGCACAATAAACTTAGACGAAAAAAACCCCCAGAATTACTTGACCAAAATCAGAAATTACAACGCGTACCGATTTGCCATAGTAGCTATATTGTGAATAATTGAAAAGAATTGTTGCCCTGTTTTCAACCCATTTTCTTCGTTCGCTTCGCTTCAATACGTCTTCTTCGTTCAATCTACGCCGTTTACTTTGCCTGCCTTCGTTCTCATTATCAGATTCTCCACTCGCGTCCTCTTCATCTGACTGCATGTGATTGAACAGGAATTATAGAAAAAAAATCGAGAAAGACACTTGGACGAGATAAAAACAATTTGTTACGCACACTATCATCTCGGAATATATCATTATATTCTGGAATCTGAGCATCTTCATCTGGTTTACCAAGAATACGTATTTGACTTTCTGAATATATATTGCATAAATCGTAAGGCCGGTGACTATCAAGAATATAAAACACCACGGATTCGTCTGGTTGGAGCAACTCCACTAAGTCTAGAGTACCGCCGCAGTTTATCATAACAACATTCTTTATCTGAAAGGAGAGAGTTTCTTAAATTACTTTTCGCCAACGAAGCACACGGCGAGGTGAATACACCTTGGAGATCCTCGTTACCTCCTCACAATTTTCGTCAAAAGCGTTTACGATATCTTGAATACCTCGAACAGGTACGAGAGTATATATCATATGATCATTTTTAAAAAGCTGTTGTAATATCCTACAGGCACAGATTGCATCAACATCAAAATTCACTAGCAGTAAACATCTCTGAAACAAGAAGGATTAGATAAAACAATTGAAAATTGTTCAGCCGAATAATGTTCAAGCTGTAATTTCAACTTCAAAACCGTGAGCATAAATTTGGCAAACAATTATTTTTGGTGTAAAATGCATCGTGGACAGATACGCTGTTTCAATCATGTTGAATTCTTCATTGTTAATAAAACAAAGAAATTAGATATGCATCATTTGTACGATAAAATTATACGATTCTCTACCATCCATAAGAAAGACAACATATATAATTATGAACGTAAATATAGAAATTCAATAATGAATTATACTTATTGTAAGATATATACACACATATATATATATATATATATATATATATATTAGAGATACATGATTTATATCATATTATATCAATAAAAAAGAATCAGATGTATGCGATAATGGTTTTCTACTTATTCAAAGGGAAAATAAAATTATGCTCGATTATGAATGAGAGTATAAATGAAAAAGATTATTTGCTACAAAGCGTACGAGGAATATACATGCTTTGCGCTTGCTATGAACGAACAAACTTCACTAATAACAAATATATATTAACAATAACTAATAAAAAAACAACGGAATCAACGATGGTTAGAGACGTACACGCGTTCCAGGTCGTTGACCGTCTACTGAAGAGACAAAATTATGTGTAACTGCGCGATTTACGCAGGAAGGAAGGTCGAGGGAGCCCGACGAGTGATCGGGACGTCGCGGAAAGGCCGGGGAGGGCCGTCGAAACGGCTCGGGGGGCCAAGACGGTGCGCGGTTGGGTCGCGTAACCTATACACGATGGACGCGGAATACGCTGCCGCGAGGGCAGAACTGGACGTCGACTCACGCTTCTTTGTATCGCGTCGTAGAAATCCTTCTCCAGACTCGTCACGAACATGTTGCGAGCCGTCTACGGCAGGCGAGACATCGCAGGTTTCGCGGCGGCCCCTCGCACGCGACGGTCTCGGGGACGGACGATTTAAGCGCGAAAAATCCAAACCGTCGGCTCACGAGTCACGGCGTTGCGCGCGACGGTCGTGCGCGTCCGTCGTCGGCGTCGGCGAGGGGAGGTTAGCCGCCGCCATGCCCCGGAGACCCGGTCGATTCGGCCCATCGCTCCGTCCGTGCGTGTCGATCGGGACCGGAGATCGAGGCGTGCAAATGCGTAATTTTGCAAAACAGCGGCGACGACAACGTCCGAGCGAAACTTTCTTCACAATTCTTGTAAACAGTGCCAGTGTCGATAACATCGATATTCGATAAATCGTACGCGACATCGAGTTCGATGGCGCGTCTGTTCGAAGCGATCCTCGGGTCTGTTCTTTATTAGCACCGCGCGCCGTACTTTCCGCATTGCAAACGAAACGGATATGTAGCTTAGAGAGAGAGAGAGAGAGGGAATTCTTTTTGAATTCTCAAATTATAAAATGAATTCTTTCTCCCATTTTTGGGCTGAAAACATTCTTAAGGCTTGGGCCCACTTCCCAGCGAGAAATGACTCGTCAATCGATATCAAAACTATAAAATGTTATAGATCCCAAGGAGAAGAAAAAGTCAGGATGATGTCAATTTGATGTCATATTGACATCATCCTGACTTTTTCTTCTCCTTGGGATGTTGATTCGACATCGTTTCGATGCCGATCAACAATTTTTCTCTGGGCTGTATCTTTTATGGAAAAGCTGCTGCCCTAGTAAGACTTGAATAAATTTCGACAATTAAAAATTACATAATCGCACTTTCATCAAAAGTAATAGTTGAGAAGAAATTTAGAGATTGACGTGTCACTTGTTGTTTATTCTCGATTGTCTCTTCGATATTCCTCATACAAGTGCGACAAAAATTAAATTAAATTTTAAGGATGTATATCTGAGATACGATCATTGACAAAGGTGCCCCAAATTCGAAATACTGGCATATTTGCGCTAAACGTGCAGTAAACCTAGTGATAACTGATATAAATGGTAGCTAACATAATATATTTATTTTTAAACAGTTATTTTTCACATTTTTCAGCACCAATTATTATCGGTGGAAAGGTAGAATAAATCCTCTGCAATATGTGGGATTATCAATACGTAAAAAATTGGCGATGACTGAGAGAGAAATCGATATAAATATACTAAAAAATTCTTACGAAACTTCTGGTGCTGATGGGGTTTTTGAATTGCTTGAAAACAAAATGAAAAATAAATCGCTGCAAAAGCTTCAAGAGTCATCGATAAAAAGAAATAATTTAATCTGTCGAAAAGCATATTGAGCATACAAATTGAGCCAAATTTAACCTAATTAAAGCAAAGGTTTTACCTTTTTATATTAATAGATATAAATCTCTTAATTGTTGCTGTTATTTATTATATTCATCTTTGTTCAGTAATTTTCTGTTTGTCCTCTGAGTTATTTTATCATTTGTGTTACTAGTGGCTATAACAATAAAATTGTTTATACTATTCTGTCAAATTATTGCTTTTTTCTATATCATTTATCCAGTTATAAAATTTGATTTCCGTGTTTGAGCTGCTCGCATTCTTTATCCGACGTTTCTAACATTCGTGTACACCACGAAAGCCTCAAATGTAAAATTTACTCTGTTGTTTATCAAAATCATTTAATTTTTATTCTTGTCCTCTAAATAAAAACAATAAAACGAGACTTTACGACGTGACTACCGTATCCGTTAGATTATTCGCTTGGCACGTTCAGCTGATTGCGACGATGCCGCACTTCCACAGTCCGGTGATTTACGTATTACAGAAACCGCAAAATTGTCATGAATAATAATTAATTTCTTCTAAACCGTGTTGCGAAACCCAATCGAGTTTTGCACAAAGTTCCAGTAATCCATGGTCTATGTATGTATAACAAAAATTAAGATTTTGGTACTATTTTTTCTATACTTTTCTATACTCATTACATTCAAGAAAACTGCATTTCCCATAAGAACACGTGTAAACTCAGACATAATTAAAATAACAATAACTAACGGTTTAGTAAATCTACTTCAAAATTGTTTTTTAGTCTATTACAGATAACAAAGGAAGAGTTTCCCGAAGTTTTATCAATTTTGTACTATTTTCAGATAGCTCAGATACATCCTTAAATGTTAACACCGCAAGAAAGGCTCGACCACAAAACAAATGAGATGTCATGTCTTATATATCATTAACAATCCAGTGAGAAATGATTCGAAATGATGTGGAATCGACATCGACACTGCCAAATTCGACGTTGATTCGACATCGTTTCGTCAATTGACGAGTTATTTCTCGTAAGAAGAGATTCGCGAGTTTCGCATTGACAATCTGAAATGTAATTCTTATCGCCTCGCTATCCCCACATAGTCCCCTTCACTCGTGTCTCTCAAGACTTCCCTCTCATCTCCTCTGAAAGTGTTAACCGGTCTGTGGTCGTTAAATAGTTGCATTATCCACTATCGGTGTCTCCTCACACTTTGATTGGAGGGGACTGTAAACGTCAAGGAAAACGTTGCTTTTAAGCAGTCGCTTGATAAAGACATTTAATCGAAGCACGTATAGACGACGGATAGTATCGTGGCTAGACAATATATTTGAGAGGAGATCGCGCGTGGACACATATAGTCTGATATATTTGGGTGAGAACAGGTCGTCGGAAGATCGCGATACGCGTCCGCTCAAACGTGCGCTTCATCCCTCGACGACGGATTTTCGCGAGATTCTCCCGGACCGCGTGGTCGGTCGAGTTCGTGCGACTGTCGTATTGTATTTTCTGCTAAAATGCCGGAAAACGAGATGCCTATATCCGAATTGGTGAGTAACGAGGGGTAGTTGACGAGTATCAAGTGACAGTAACGTCGCTTCTTCGTTTCTCGATGTAAAACTGTATGTAAATTAATAAAGGTACTGTGTCTTCTCAGCTAAGAACGTTTAAAAAATAAATTTTATTCTCTCGCGAATCAAGCTTTAAAAGAATTCGAATAATTCGCATAATTTGTATTTTGGCAAATCGACTTCAATAAATTCGGAAGGCCTGCGTCCGCGATGCTAGAACTTGGGCCAAGTTTAATAGTTTCATTTTAGAACTCATTGTTAAAAATTAAAAAAGATATTACGTAGTATCGACGATTCTTAAAATATAAATAATATTTTTAATTTGCGGACTTCCCTTGATATTGTTGTTACTAAAAAAATTAATTTGAAATTGCTAAATAGTTTATTATTTAGAAATGATATATACTCAAAATAAAATATTGTTGAATAATATATTAGAAATTAGAAATAAATTATAAAATAAATAATATGTTTATATATACATAATTAAATGTTCCAAATATCCCTAATAAACGGCGTAGATATTGTGAAATTTCACATTTACCTTTTATTATCGTCGAGCGTCAACGTTAAAAAAAAACCGCAGAATAAATTTTATCGTGATCTATTTGCGTCGATACGATGTTTTACATATCAAGCACTTGTCTGGATACATTTTGCAATTCTAAGCGCGATTGCATTACTTCTAGAGCGAACTCAGAATACCATAAGGCCTGGTTTCACCAAACGTCGCTTAACTTTAATCTTAGTTTAATTCATGTTTGTCTCTTTCTAGAGTAACAGTTGGAAAGAGACAAAGAATGAATTAAGTTACGCTTAAAGTTAAGCGACGTTGGTGAATCCGTGCAATGAAATTTTCCCTATTAGATCCACTAACATAACTGCCCCGGAAAGTTCCATGTGCTTATAATATTATCGCCAGACGTTTAGCGCATCTGTGAAAATGCAAACGTCTTTGGCCTTTGTTTGCTCGGTATGAGCGTCGCAATCAATAAAAATACAAAACAAGATTTATGTAGATATACTGTCTCCATGATAAGTAGGCAAAGAATAAAACGAGACCAAGATATCAGCCGGTTTATTTCTTTTATACAAGGTCCCTTGAAAAATTTCCGAATTTTATCTTTATTTAATAACAAAATCAAGCTCATAATTTGTGGTACAAAGTGGAAGAATCATGGGACGATAAACGAGTAGAAATAGAAAATTATATTGTTTAAATATATATTTCTGCTCGTTCATTGTCCTACGGACCTTCTACTTTATCTTTATAATTTTTAAGGATTTACTTATAACTTATTCAGTCCTATTGCCTTCAAAATATATTCTTTCTCAGTTGATACATCATTTCCAGTTGTTTCCACTTCTGAAAACAATTGTAGAATAACTGTCTTACTAGAGATTTGATTTTGTTTTAGCTGACGTTAATTAGCCACGACTAACGATTTCGTGCAGAGAGTTATAATAACGTTAATGACTACCGACGATAAATGCTTTCTTCCTGGAAACAAACGCGAGTTTTCATTCGAGCGTAACTGTTCAGAAAAAGAAAAAAAGATTCAGTTACGTAATTTAACAATTCTCTCATCAGGAATGCTTTAATAACTTATAATAAATACTGAAGATGAGTAAAACGCGTCTAATGAGATTCCGTATAACAAAACATAAAATCCAAAGTTAAATCGACTTATGAGTGACCTGTGAATGAATCACGATGTGTGTTTTCACAATTCAACTGACACGTGCACACATGGGAATACTTTAAATAATTCAAATGTTAATAACTGGAGATGAGTAAAATGCGTTTTCATGCAGCAAAACTTATGAAATACAAAAACAAGAAATATGCATATTTTAAATTGAATAGCGAGTACCTTCTGCCTTTTGAAACTTTTATTATCTTATTGAAACGTCTATTTATACATATAGTATTGTTGTTAATGCAACTGCTTTTAAAGGCAGCTACACTTTTAAAGATATCGGACTTTATAACTTGTGCGAATTGTAAGACAACATTATCTTTACAGTTAACTCTAACTTCAAAGCGTTTTAAAAATTAAATTTTACCACTTCATTCTGGATATCTCAAATATCTACTTCTTTTAAGTGTTCAACAAATATCGATAAAATAATAGTAATGTTATATTTTAATGATTTTTCTTTGTATTTTCTATTTAATATTCATTTTTATGGCATTTTCAATTGTGTAGATATGATCTTTTTTTTATGAGAGTATTCTTTGATCTTTCAGAATACAGACAACTCGACAGCTATTCCGATGACGAGGAAGACAACGAACAATACGAACAGAAATCCTGAGATTACCTATGGCATTGATGACGTTCCGCCGTGGTATCTGTGTTTATTCATGGCATTGCAGGTATCGTAACCGTATCTCACCTTATTTCTGTATAATTTATTTTTTGGATTCGATTGCGAATTATTTAAAATATGCATATTATCGACCACGTGTGAGTAAAGTGCAAAGATTGTTCTAAAAGAAAAAATTGGAAATAACAATTGTTTTAACGTAAAAGTGTGAAGCAGACAAACCTATATCTCGTATGAATAAGCTTACGCTTTTATTGCGAGGCATTTATTTTGTAAGATAAGAATACGGACGCATAAACGATCATTAAATAAACGTACTTGTACGTTGCGGCATTATATCTTACTCATTGTCAGTCTTATTGTGTTGTACCATAAATTTTATGGAAGGGAACATCGTCATTAATACATATATCAATTTTATTTAAATGATTTTTTGGTATACGTATATACACATATACGATTTAACCCAGTGAAAACAGTCTAGGCAAAATAATGTTAATAAGACATCAAAATCGTTATTTGTCGTCATTGCATCAAGGAAATATTTGAACATGATGAAAAATTGACACTATCTATTAATTGACGCTGTACGCGATGAAAGATCATATGGAAAGGTGAAAATAGATGTCTAGATGATAATTGTAGTATTATATAAAAAAAACTCAAACATATTATGTTAACGTCAAAATGACTACATTATAATGAGACAATATTTGACTCACTCCAGTTATTTTCTCAAAAGGGATCTCCGGTGTTGTTTTGCAGCATGCATTGCAACTTTTATATATTTTAAATGTTTGGAGTTCTCACAATTGTATTTAATTTGTTATATAAATTATTTTTATATTTTAACATATAAGTTTCTTCGATATTTCTTCCACATGTTGCATTCTTTATTTAGCGTTTGAGCAATTTTTTTCATAGAGCAAGTATTTTACGATTTATTCAGGGTCGTCATATTAGATGACTCACCCTGTATACTGTATATGTGTATTTCTATTTGATATAATTTTGCCTTAGTTTTGCTTTTAGACCTGTTATACCGGTTCCACAATACGTCGCATATGTTGTAATCGGATGTGAAACGCACTCGCACTGATTGTGAGTTATCCGCTGTCGTTTGAAATTGTCGCAAGCTGACTGTCGCTGTCGAAACGAGAGATGGTCATATCTCATCTTTTCCAATTTACAACTACGACGATCGTTCAAACAGCTAAACTGTTGTACCGTCATTCTTGTAAACTTGAAAAGTTCTTAGTGGTCACTCGTTCGAAAATATTCAAACGATTTTTTATGCCCACCTAAATTATAGCCGATATTCGTAGTAATGTGAGGTTTAACCTACCAACTTCTTGTTCTACGCTTTTTTAAATAGTAATTTTAATTTAGCAATTTCTACCGATATTGACAATAAATTTAGATAAACTGCATAATTTGCATCATCAGCACGTCAATGGCTTTTAACCGTATTTCTTGTTGCGACTTGCGACGTAGCAGCTCTATTGTAAAATTACAAGTCATATTCACATTCGACTAACGACTACCGATGTTCGATTCCGACTCACGACATATTCATATTGTATAACAGGCCTAATAGGCCTTATTCCTGTAGAAAGTAATGGTTTACTTTTGACATCAAATAAACATCAAAATGACAGTCTAAATCAAGGCATGGGACGTTTTCCAGTCAAATTATCATCATCTTGCCATTATTTTGACTACTCATATCCCTCATCAATTTGATGGCATTTTCGCTGGGAACTCAGAGTTGTTTAACTTGTAATATCATGGAATAGGCGAGCAAACTGTTAAACGAGTGGTAGAGGGGAGATATGCGGTATCAGCTGATTACAGTTACACAATTTTATTCGAGAAATTATTTAACAATTCGATGTTTTATCTCCCAAATGTAACACGAGCGTTATTTCTTATTAATGTAAATGCAAAGTGAAAAGCAAAGGCGTTTCCAGCACTACTTGACCATGATCGGTGCAATCGTTTCTATCCCTTTCATTCTAACGCCGGCCCTCTGTATGGCCGAAGATGATCCCGCGAGGAGCCACGTTATCTCCACGATGATCTTTGTCACTGGCCTAGTGACGCTGATTCAGACCACCGTAGGATGTAGGTAAGGATAATATTATTATTTTGCAATAGGATATATACCCTATATAGTGTGACAAGCGTGGCGCAGAGAAATGTGCGCTGCTCGGTAAAGAAATGAACGAGAAAATCCGAGTTCAAATCTACCCATACCGCTGGTTTTTTTCGGACGCCACCTCGCTCTCGCTGAGAAGTGGCAACTACCGAGAGTATCCTGTCACACATATTTCTGTCCTCCGAAAAAGGGGGTTGGCGAGAGGCTAACAACCTCTCACCGTAAAAATTCACTGTTGCGCATACACACAATGACCCAAGGAGAACAAAAAGTCAGGTTGATGTCATATTTATGTCAAATTTTGGTCAATATGGCATCAAATTGATCAAACTCTGACATATTTGGTCAAGATGAGATCAAATTGACATCGTCCTAACTTTTTGTTCTCCTTGGGGAGCTTCGGACGGATTTAGATTTTTTTTACGGAAATGTGTACCTATAACATTGGTTTGGATAATATTAATTGCAGTTACTTAAACGCAGTTACTAACCGTTGGATTAAAAAAACGAAATAATTAATAAGATATAAATGAATTTAAGCACGCACCGAAGGACATTTATATCTGATACTCTAATTAATTATAGAACTAAACTATTTGCAAATATAACAAAGAATTAAATCTCTTGGCGCTCGTAGAAATATCAAATTTTAATCGCAAAGAAACGTATATGTCCGCATTAGATTGCCATTGGTACAAGGTGGTACCATATCGTTTCTGGTGCCGACTCTGGCGATATTGAATCTGCCGCAGTGGCAGTGCCCCGAGCCGGAGATTCTCGTGCAAATGTCTCACGAAAACCGGACCGAGCTCTGGCAAATACGAATGAGAGAACTGTCGGGTGCCATCGCTGTTTCCGCCTTGTTCCAAGTGATCATCGGATTTGGAGGTACGCGCCCGATTTTAATTACTGAATGTGTCGCGTGTAATCTCAGTTTTGTTCTTTTCGCTTTTCCCTTCTTTTTATCGCGAGACGCTACGAACGTGTTTGTGCGCAGGTATCGTCGGATATTTGCTGAAATTTATAACTCCACTGACAATCGTGCCGACGGTCTCGCTAGTTGGGCTGTCCCTCTTTGAAAACGCAGCGGACGCCGCGTCCCAACATTGGGGTATCGCGACTGGGTATGTATGTGTTGTATAAATGACATATACAATATGTAAACGTGATAATTAGAACTAGTTATTAGGATTAATATCAAATATATTTAATAAATAGCCAATATTAATAGTAACCAATGTAGAAAATTTATAATCGACACAACTGGCAAATTCTAATTAAAGAAGGTTATTGCGAAAAATATTACCTCAGCCAGAATTTGAACCTGGACCTCTAGGCAATACGTTTCTTTACTTAGAATTTGTCGGTTGTGCCGATTATTAATTTCCCACATTGGTTAATTATTTACTGGCGACGAGTCTTCAGTCTTGATATTTAACAAACACCAAGTAACAGTTCACTGGGATCAGTATTTGGACCTCACGCTTGTTTATGTTTCTAGTACAATATTACTACTGACGACATGCTCTCAAATAATAGTCAACGTTCCATTTCCGTTTGTAATATATCGGAAACGCCACGGACTCCACATTATCTGGTTCGAATTGTTCAAACTATTCCCGGTAAGTGCCAAGTGAGTTATCGTGGTACCAGACAAATGGCGATTTTTTAACTTCTGCTTCAAACGTCTTTTTACTCAAACCTTTTTTTATTTAAAGATATATTCAGTTTTATGTCTGCTTACGGAATCGTTTCAGAATGAACACTTTACACGCGTAGACTGCTAGGTGTTCACTTTCCCTGATATATCTAAACCGGAGTACCCGTTGCACTAGGTTTTGCTGACGATAATCGTTATGTGGATAATCTGCACTATATTAACGGTGACCGACACGCTACCGCTCGGTCATCCCGCCAGGTCCGACAGCAAGTTAAGAATTATAAATGACTCACCCTGGTTTCGGGTACCGTATCCTGGACAGTGGGGCGTACCCACCGTAACGTTATCGGGCGTACTCGGTATGCTAGCCGGAGTATTAGCGTGCACGGTAGAGTCTATCAGCTATTATCCGACCACAGCAAGAATGTGTGGTAGGTACATTCATTGCAGAGCCGTAATTTCTTTTTTAGACCTACTTCTCATTCAGACGGGATCTATACGGGATCGCGAGTCTTTCCGTTAACGGGAGGAGTCTTCCGTTATTAGTGAGCGCAGAACAAACAGGACAATACCAATAAACTATAAACAAGAAACTAGAATGGCCAACGCGAGTCAAGGCAGGATGTAGATAGCCTGTACTTGTAATTTTTAATAAATTGTGAATTCATGTACCGGCGCGCAGGACAAATGTGGAAAAAGAAACGGTATATATGAATTCACAATTTATTAACAATTACAAGTCCAGATAGCACAAGACACTCCTATGAATATTTTAAGAATATTCTTCAAGACTATTTGGAATATTCCATAGGTCATTCTTATATATTTATCTTACGTTCGTGGAACATTCGACTGGCACTACTATAAATCTTTTTCGAATGCGAATAGAATAATCTATCGAATATAGGTATAGTATGAGCACAGGTTTCACTGCCTTTTGCATAAGATATTAAGTGTATTACACAATAAACAATGTGCATAAATTCGATATTAAAAAATTATACTGAACAAATATTCCAAAGACATTCTCAACGAATATTCTAAACACGTTCTTCTTTGTTACAAATATACGATTTCTAATTGTAATAATCTATATATATTTATAAAATATTCGATTGGATTATTCTGAAATTAAGAATATTTGCACTCCAGAAGAATATTCATAGAACTATGTGTGCTATCTGGGAGTATATGGAGCTATCTACATCCTGCATAGACACGCATTGGCCATTCTTGTTTCTTGTTTAGTTTTAATGAGAGTCCTGCTTTAACTCTAACGTTTAATGCCAATAAAGTCACAAAATTTTGACTGACAATGACGCAGCTTGAGATTGATCGGAAAACTTTCCAGGGGCACCGCCGCCGCCGGTTCACGCGATCAACCGTGGTATCGGCATAGAAGGTCTGGGTACGATGCTGGCCGGACTTTGGGGTAGTGGTAATGGTACGAACACGTTTGGCGAAAACGTCGGCACAATAGGTACGTCGGGCGATTAAATACGCTTGAATCGCGTGATTACAATGTAATGGCATCGTTTGATGGAAACGGGAACAATTAGGGGTCACCAAAATTGGCAGCCGCAGGGTCATACAGTGGGCCTGCTTCCTAATGATCCTGCAGGGCGTGATCAGCAAACTCGGCGCGTTGTTCATCATAATTCCCGAGCCGATAATCGGCGGACTATTCTGCGTGATGTTTGGGATGATTTGTGCTTTCGGTGAGCGTAAATTTTTACTGCAATATGTACTTTCGATCGCAATATAACTCGATTGAAGATATCAATCTGGGAGAATTAAGGGCGTCTTATTGTATATAATAAGCGATCTTTGGTTCGCTAAATATCAGATATTTGAACGATGGTCGAAAAATTTCTAAGTCCGGAGGTCGAAAAATTTTTCAGAGTTCCGAGTAGTTATGAGTGGAATTCTAAACAGTTCTCGACGAGTTTTAATGGAAAGTCTTATGGCCCACAGAGCTTAAGTGACTCAATTTAGAGATACGCGTCATTTTTTACTAGTTTCTAAAATGTCATTTAAAGTGTGTAACTTTTTATATTTGTGGTTAAAATTTTTTTTAGTCAGCGAGAACTCTTCGAGAAAAACGTAATAACGATATAAATCACTCAGAACTATTGTATCTCAAAATAAAATTTTCATAGATTTTTACAATTTTTTTAATTAATTGGAAAAATTTTTTATGTATCAGGAACTCTAGATAATCGCAAAATGAAGCTATTAGACCGATTCAGAACTATTCAATCTCAAATTTCGATAAGAAGTTGGCATCCGATTTTTTAAATTTTAATTTCTGATCGTTAATCAGCAGAACTCTTTTTATAAATTATGGGGAAACTCTTAAACTCTTCAAAAAGAAGCGGGAACTCCAGTCAGAACTACAAAATTTTAAAGTTGGGGTGCAAAGTTAACACACGCGACAGGTCTCGTGAAAAAGATGTTGAATTTATTCACATTACTTGCATGAATAATTATAGAGTTTTAGAAAAAGTATCTTTTTACTAAAATTACCGTTTTCTTTCCTCCTCTAATATATTTCGTTATTTTTATTCTTTTTAATCTGTAATTTTCAGGCCTGTCAGCGTTACAGTATGTAAATCTCAATTCCTCGAGAAATTTATTTATCCTGGGCTTATCCATGTTCTTTCCTTTGGTGAGTACATTCTTAAGAATGTGAATCAATCACATTAATTTTCGCTCAGAGACACTTAGAATCGTTCTGTTACATTGTGAGACATTCAAAGATCCTCAGATCAACTCAGAGATACTAAAAGACCCTTAGGTCACCTCGAAGAGTATTTCGCTATAAACGCTTTCAAAGTTTTGCGTGCAACATTGACAAGAGTGAGCACACGTAAGTGATCTGTTTCAGGTCCTGTCGAAATGGCTGATAAAATATCCGGATACGATACACACAGGAAATACTGTGGCGGACAGCGTATTCACCGTATTACTTAGTACCACCATTCTAGTAGGTGGTGCGTTGGGCTGTTTACTGGACAACATCATCCCAGGTATTATTGATAAAGATAATAACGATAGAGTACATATGCCCATTGATTTATTTCTTTAAAACTTTAAATTATTAAGGTAACGCGAGAGACCGTGGATTGGAGGCTTGGGCAAAGGAAATGGAGCTCACTGATAAAGCTGTTGATAAAAGAACTGACGAAATGTCAGGCGTTGAATACGCTCGGAATACTTTCGATTTTCCATTCGGAATGAATCTGCTTAGAAGGTATCAATATACATGTATGTAAAGGGAAGTCCCCTATTTGAAATAGGCTTCTAATATGAGATATTCAAATTGAATTATAAAGCTTTCTTTCGCAGCAATTACACGATCTAAAAATTTTCCATTAAATAATTTTCTCCCCAAGGACAATAAATTCGTGGTGGAACCAACAGATGATGCCTAATAATTTAGCTGAAACCTTGTTATCTCGTATTAGGAGTCTATCTCATAATAAAGAACTTTCCTCTGTATATATGAAACATAATTTTTTTATCTATACGACTAGTATACAAATAATAGTTAATATTTGCAAATTAATGTTTTCCAGGTGGAAATGGACATCATACGTGCCGTTTTTACCTACATATCAGAAAATATAAATGCGCTAAAAGGAAATCACACAACTACCTCACGCTTATCTATCATGAGATGAGATCTGTAATTGAAAATACGTGATATGTAAAAAAGAGAACCGTGATATCGCCAGCATTAGAAAAAATGTTATGACACGTGATTATTGCTCTTAATCTTAATTCCAGCCATATTTCATACTGCTGCGAATTTAATGTGTGAAGATTCACAAGATAAAGATACAAATTTATAAGAGAAGGATAAAAATAATCGGAATATTATTACGCTCTAGTGTTTATACTTATAGAGAAAGTTGTGTTAATGCATGTATATTGTGTAATAATAATTGTCGAGATTTCATTTAAAAAGTCGAAAGTTATCGATAATACATCGATAATTATTTTTTTATTTATAATATTTTATTTCCTTTTGTTCCTTGCATTTGTTAAAAATTACCTAAATTAAATATCAAATATATGATATTTATTGTATATGTATATGTATGTATCTGACAAAAATATGACGTTTCTATATCTTTAAATATTATACGTGCCAATTGTTAATCTAAAGTTATATAACTATTAATAATGCTAATTTTTATAATTTTAGATTAAACAATTGGTACGTGTAAGGGTCAAAGCACAAAGCAACGTAATAGCTCACATGTAACGTCGTATGTAATTTAAATACGACATACGTCTAATATATTAATTATTATTTTATTTAGTTATAATTATTATGTCTACAATAAAAGTATAAAATTATGTCCCCCGTGTCCCTGCCTACCCGAAATCTTATCTACTCGTATTCCTTCCTACCTACCCGTATTCCAATTTATTATAGTCCTACCTATTCATTTTCTTATCTACCAGTATTTCAATCTAACAAACCAACAAATTTTTCGTTAAAACCGCGATTTATTAGGGGTAAGATTTGGGGTTTCAACTCGCACGCGACTGAGATTGAACTTTCCAATCTCGCATATATGCGAGAAAATATCGAGAATAGCCCACCCGACTTTTGGCAAATAAACACTTATAAATTCATTTTGTACATTGTCGTACTCTATTTTGTACATTGTCGTACTCTACTATCGTGGTCAATGAGGACCACTTATCTTCTTTCGTTGGGCCAGAGATCGAACCTACCTCTCGTCGCACCTGGCCATACAATCTGATCACATTTCGACCAGACACCAATAGGAAAGAGGAAAACTCTTTCCGTTGTCGATTTATCATCGACAGATATTACGTACGAATCGAGTTATACGCGAGAATCGATCGTATCGAAGAACATACGACATTGAAAATTAATTTTAAAAAATTATTACTTATTTGAGAATGGATTGATCTCTGAGACTGTTCTTTTAATTCAAAATTATAAGTCAAGTATAGAAAAAAAAATTCGCGTTATATGTGTACTGATTTTGTATCCCGAGAAAATTTAGAATTTATAATGTGTAGGACAAAATTAAAAATTAATAAGATTAATAAGGACTTCGATCGCGAAAACCGACCGCGTAGATGCGTGCAGATGCGTGCGTGATTGTGCATGTCGTTCATGCGATACGCATCTTGAGAGTGTATCAAGCAAAATATACAAAATATATCAAAAATAGATGGATAGATTACGAAAGATTGCCAATAATATTCGCGTAATTTCTGCGACGCGGTTCAACGATTCTCGAGATGGAAAGTAAGCTCCATGAAATCGAAAGAATGTGAATTAAGAAAATTAAACAATTCGCTGAACGCCAAAGACTCCGCAGCAATATTCAAAGATTAAATTGCCGTAATTAATTTATTGCAACCTATCCATTACAAAGTAACGAATCTACGAGATGAAATAATCTACAATCTACCAACTACGAAATGTAGATTCGTTACCCTAATGTAAGTAAAATTTTACGCTCACCGACTCGACGCGCAGCAGCGGAGTTATATCTGCCACGTAGCCGCGTTGATTCTGTAACAGAAATAAAGAATTCATATTAAAACAGTGCTCAACAAAATCAACATTGCAAAACACAACTTTTACACGCATCGAACTTTTTATTCAATTTATAGATATGTAAAAAATTACAACGCGGAAGATTTTCTACAAAAAATCCTCACAATATATAATAAAATTTTTTATTTCTTCTTGTTTTCTAATTATTACTTCTAATTATTTAAAATCACATGGAATTATGGTATAAAACAACTAAATGTAATAAACTGGAACAAAGATTAAATCTATACAAAAGAAAATATAGTATAATTACCGCAAGTTGCTCCGCCGGCGCCTGATGCCCGTCCTGGGCCTCCTCTGGCCTCCTCCTCCACTCGGACTCCTCCATTTCTGGCGCTGGCACAACACGACACTCGCGAAAGAGGAGCTAATTACGATCGCGCGTACTAATTACCGACGCGGCACTCCCGGCGTCATTCGACGCGGACTTCTTCAGCGCAACGAGAACGAGCCCAGTGAGAAATAATTCGTCGAAACGATGTCGAATCGACGAGCCATTTCTCGCTGGAAGAGAGCGAGAGACGCGGGAACACGAGCTGCACCCGACTAGAGTCCCTGTAGTTGAACTAGTGCAGTTAGTTAATTGCACTAGTGCAGCAGTGTGGCGATAACGAACAGACCAAGGGCAGCCACGTTTAAAAGAACAAATAATACCGCGTTCAGAGTGCAGATTCGAGACACCTTATTGGCTCTGCCATATTTCGTCGAAACCAATAGAACGAAAGATATTTCTGGCCGGACTCTCGCTGCAGGGACTCTACACCTGACGAGATAACGTCGCGCGAAATGTCGAGAAAACGTTTCCAGCGGGAAGGACTCGCGGAGATACGCGAGGCCAACTTGACGCGCGTCGCGAGAAAGGGAACCGAATGCGTCCCAGTGAGAAATGACTCGTCGATCGACGTCGAAACGATCTCGGAAATCCCGGTCGAAATCTTTCGTGCGTTCGCGACTGCCCTGTCAGGGGCTCGATTCTTGAATTTATTCGAAGGAGAAACGTATGCGAAAATTCTGCTCTTACAGAAAAGTTGCAAGTTGATTGGCTACTCGCATGGCTTTAACCAATAGACTTTCAACTTTTCTGTCAGAGCAGAGTTTTCGTATACGTTTCTTCTTCGAATAAATTCAAGAATCGGGGCCCAGAAAGGACTCGTCGATCGACGTCGAAACGATACGACGTCGTATCGTTTCGACGTCGATCGACGAGTCCTTTCTGACAGGGCAGTCGCGAACGCACGAAAGATTTCGACCGGGATTTCCGAGATCGTGTCTCGGTGGATTACCAACGCGCGACTGTTAATCCCGAAAATGGTAAACAATTACCGCGTACTGCGCGTACCGTGAAACGCGACGATATATATATGTTCTCGTATCATTCGTGCACGAAATCTATTCGAAATCTCGACCAATCGCCGTAGAACGATATAATTGCGGAACGCGAAAATCACGCGATCGACAAACGTTAGTAACTTTTACACGAGACGATCGCGTAGGAGATGATCGAGATTCACGTATGATCGAAAACGACCGCGTTACGAGGAGCGACACGCGAAAACACTCGGAACATCCGCCTCGCTCGACTGAACCGCGCCGAATGATAGACTGCTTTCGACCGAGGTCAAAGTGTTTACGGGCGCGCGCTACGTCATTTCTTCTAACCGCCGCTCGGTTTTTGCCCGAGTTGTTTACAACGCTCGGTCTATAGCGCTACGTCATTTCTTGGAATTCGTGCTCGGTGTACGGCGCACGGCAAAACACGGTCACGCCGTACGCAGCCTACGCAGGGATCAATCATGTGGCGACAAGTAAACGCGTCGGTTGTGCCCGCGCCGCTCCGCGTATCGTATTATTCTCTTTTGATACGCGTTCGCGATAGAGAAACCGCGGTCGCTCTCCGCGAATAATCAGCGATCGATGTCATCCAAAGCCTCCGCTACAATGATTCTCGGTTCTGTCTACAATGGTCGTAGTCGTAAGAATAATCGACTGCGATTGGTCAATTCTTATCGAGCGACTACGACTACGACCATTGTAGACAGAACCGAGAATCATTGTAGCGGAGGCTTTAAGGTGAAATTACTGGATTACTTACGCCACAGATTTACGCGAGCCAATCGAATGACCGCGATGCTTCACGAACAGACCAGCGCCGATAACCGTCGGCCCCCGCGATACTACGATGATTGGTCAATTTTTATGTGTCTGACGAAATTGACCAATCGCAGTCGATTATTCTTACGACTGTGACTCGCATTGCAGACCACGCATTAAGGCTCGTTCACAGTCCATTCTTATGTATTCGACAATCATCCGAAATATCTCTCGAAATATTTCGTAGCCGGTAAAATGATCTGTACTTGCGCGAATCCGCGAACGTGTACGCGAATATCCGTGTATGTGACGCGCGTAAAGCCTCCGCTACAATGATTCTCGGTTCTGTCTACAATGGTCGTAGTCGTAAGAATAATCGACTGCGATTGGTCAATTCTTATCTAGCGACTACGACTACGACCATTGTAGACAGAACTGAGAATCATTGTAGCGGAGGCTTAAGCCTCCGCTACAATGATTCTCGGTTCTGTCTACAATGCGAGTCGCAGAGTCGTAGTCGTAAGAATAATCGACTGCGATTGGTCAATTCTTACTTTGCGACTGCTCAAACGACCATCGATACAACTGTACGACCATTGTAGACAGAACCGAGAATCATTGTAGCGGAGGCTTTAAACGTGTAGCCCGCGTATACTTCAACAGGGAAATATTTTGAGAATTATGTGACAAAGTCTGGATAAAACTTGGAACACTGGAATTATGCGCGTACATATGTCGAACAACATATGCAGAAACGGAGAAACTTTCATCAAATTTTCATAAATATTTGCGCACGTATCACACACACACACACACACACACACGGATAGGTACGTCACATACACAGGTACACGTGAACGAAGGTACCTTAAATTCGTGCACACGGATTAACGTGTACCCGCGAATCTTGAAAACGCGTATCCAATCGAGGGCTCTAAAATAAGCGCGCACTTAAATTCACACGTCCGTTGGAAAAGACAATCGACGAATTCGCGGCTCTCCTCTACGGTAGACGGCCATTCCACGGCCATTCTCTTTCCGCATCGCCAAGTGCACACTACAAGAAACGAAGAAGACGTCAACGACAGGATCACGTACGTAATTCCGTGCCGTTCGTACCGCAATTCAAAGGACAACGCGACGCACGTTCGACTATGGCGCGGCTCGCCGCTCGTCTGGCTCGAGCCGCCGCGCGCCGGCGCGCCGCAGTAACG